ACCCCTGTAAAACTTTGCCCCCCCCCCCGAAAAAATTTCTGCGGACGCTCATAGTAGAGCAAAAGATTGACTGTTTCTTTTTAAAAGGATAAACATTTTTAATGTAGGTTAAGAATCAGTCATGAATCGTACCAAAACATTTACAGGATATTTTACAGTTTTTAATGTTTTTTAAGCAAGCACGATGGCCCAAGCAGCAAGAAATTAAATTACTTAGAAATTGCGGTATTTTGTGTTGTTTGTATTCAAGGTCAAGCATTGATTTTACCCATTTTATCTATACTGTCATGTTACTTATCAGTGCATTAGATTATATAGTGATATTTTTGTCAATTTTTCCGCCAGGTTTCGATTCTTTTGTCACTTCTACTCTCAACAACATTGGTACACAGTGAAACTCAGGGTGAAGTGAAAACAGAAGATGAACTTAAAGCTTCAGCTACCGGTTACGGTGGTGGAGGAGGAGGCTATGGAGGGGGTGGTGGAGGAGGTGTTACTATACAGGTATAAAATACACTGGGATGGTGGATTTGGGAGTGGAGAACTATTAGTATATAATTTACCATTTGTTGTTCTTGTTCCGACTGGTATGTATCTGTAACTAAATAACAAGCTACTGTGAATGTCAAAGTGAATTTATTGACTTTTGGACATAATACTGTCAACTGATACGTTATAAAGTATCCACATATTAAAGAATATATTTATAAATTCGTTATAAACTGTAAAAAAAATTTAAGCGAACACAACGTACCAAACACTGTCCGTCGGGGTTAGTGTTTCATCTTATAACAACTTGACAATCAACCTAAATTTCCAGTATATATTATTAACAGTACAGGATTGGCTATTTTTGACAACATCGTATCAGTGACAATAATCATTCAGTCTTGTCTTATTTTTCCCTTAAAACAGTTGAAACTCAATATCTACTCATTAATTAATAACTTTGTAGCATCTGACCTTTGATAGTTTACATTTATAAGCATTTACAAATTTTAACTTGCATAGAAATTTACTATCGCCATCTACGAAAA